ATGTGAAAATATCTATCGAAAGGGTAGCCATTTCTCACTTTAAGTTGTTCTTTAAAATGAAATTAAAAAGATGTATGCACAAATATGTGATCACCCATCCATTACAGAAGTATTTATAACATTGAAATGGAAGCAAGCTGATTATTGTCTACTAAGGAACATGAATGATTCAAATGTAAGCATTTAACATGCTTTTGGAATATTCAAAAATTTATGTATTAGTTAGGAATACAATCATAGTAAGTTGTATGTGAATTATGTTATCTAAAATACTTGATCAATTATCCAAAATCCATGTCAGGAATTGTAAAGTTCTTTTAGTCTGTTTTCTGTTATTATCACAAATATCTAAGGTAAACAACTTATAGCAAGAAATGCTTTATGTGGCCTACAGGTGTGTGGGCATTAGTTCTTGACTGGTTGATGTTGTCTGCTTTGGAAAAATATAACAGTAGGAGTTTATGACATATCAAAGCCACTTATCACATAACTGTGTTAAAAGAGAGAGGAGAGAGTTGGATTCTTGGTTTTCCCTTTAAGACATGCCCTCAGTGACCAAAAGACTTCATTTAGTATCCACCTCCAAACAGTGTCATCATTCCTTATATAAGGCCACTAGAATGAATAACCATTATTGCATAGACCTCTGATGCCATTACATATGTAAACTGTAGCATAAATATTTAAATTTCTCTTAATTTCAACAACAAAAACTGAGTATTATAATAAGAAGAGAAATAAATATATTTTCTCTAGCTCATTATATAAAAAGCAACCCATTGACTTTGAGTATATAGTTCAATGCATTCTAGCAATGGCTGAAGTTGAACATCTGCCACTGAGTTGAAAATAGAATGTTCCCACTACCCTGAGAAGTCTTCCTGTCCTTTTTATTGACAGATAACCCTTCTAACAATTGCTGGCAACCATGACTGTCTTTGCTGTCACTCTCAGGTTGTCTTTTCTAGAATTTCATGATTTTGAGATATGTTCATGCTACTGTGTGTACCATTAATTTTTTCTGAAGATTATATTTAGAAAGAATACCCAGCATGTGGCTCACTCTAGTAGACTAACCATGAAGAGGGCACAGAGCCTCATGAAGTGCACACAAGGCAGTAAACCTAGAGATAACGGTAAATCAAGTCAGGTATAACGAGCCTGTTTGTCCATCTATAAAACTAAGTTAGTAATCACATCTTTCTTACCAGCATGTCAGCATAATTATGGGTAAGGAACCATAATATTCTTGTGAGGAATCAATATCAGATTATTTATAATTAGTATTATTTGTTTATTATATTATTTATAATAATAATAATTATTATTATTAATTGTGGACCTGGTTCATTGATGTGTGGATGACTATTCCTACACTTTTGACTAGACATTTGTCTTTATATAAAATACAGACTCTTCTTCATAAAGATATATTCTGTAGTTTGGCTCTTCCTGAACTCTCATCATAGGGGATGTCTGACACTGCTATGTTACAGTGAATGGTAGCTGATTCCTTACAGGAGTTACTTTAGATTTCATTGCTTATACTTATAGTTCCCTGATGCTTGTTTTGCTTCTCTTTCCCAAGACCTCTTTGCTTAGAGCCTGTTCTGTAGTTGAAGTAAGAGCCTGTAGGTTCTTCCTTTCATTAATTTTTAGTAGCAGTTTTTAGACTTTTAAGTCAAAAGAGCCTGAAGAAAAATTCAGTTTGTTAATAAACACTATGCAGCATGAGACTCTCCTAAATAACTTAAAGGCAATGGTTATAATCAATATTCCTATCCATTTATTCTTACTGTTCACTCTGGAACCAACAGACTCTGATTTGACTTCACACCTTGTTCCAGAGACTCTGCTGGGATCTAGTATACTGTTGATGACTGTCCCAAAGAAATGACATTTAAGTAGGAGCTGAGTACCAGAAAGAAGTGAATCAATCATTTAAACAATTATAAGTTCTAAAAAGTAGAAAAGGATTCAGAGAGAGATGCAGTAGGTGCTGAGGAGCTGCTGCGGCTGTGCTGGAAGGGATCTCAAAGATCACACTCAAGCTGAGCTCTCCGCCGTGTGAAAGAGCCACCCTCAAGAGGAGCCAGGAGGAGGAGTGGTGGAAGAACAGAGAAGAGGACACACAAGAGTCCAGGGACAAGAAACTCAGAAGCTAAAATAATAAGGGCTATTAAAGTATGATGGATGGTGATAATGGTCCAGCGTTAAAGCTGGAGAGATGAGAAGAATCAGTGAGTCACAGTAATGAAAGCCAAGATCAGGAGCAGAGTGCCTCCCAACCCCAAAGAGAAGAGAAATGGTTTTGCTCATGACAGTGACTTGACTTAATCTTTTAAAATCTTGGGTAGTTTTATAAAATGGACTTAATCATTCTTCCATTTGAACTGTAGCCACGCATTTACTCGCATATTATTTAATTAAGGGACAAGAAAAGGCACGTGTTTTATAATCTTATCTACCTATTTTTGTATTTATTTATTCAAAATATCATGTATGAGTACTGTATTTATATCACTTCTATCTCTACATCTCTCTCTTCCAACTCCTCCAGTGTCCTTCCCTGAACTTTCACTCAAATTCAAGACTTCATGCATATATGTATGAATATTTTATAGATATACATGTATTCCTATTGAGTCCATTTAGCATTATATATTAATAAATATTAGTGATATATATATATAATATATAATGTATGTATTAGGATTGATACATTTAGCATTATGTATATAAATATACACACACACACATTAGGATTGATCACTTTGGATTGGATAAACTATACAAGGAGTCCCCCCGAATAAAGTTTACTTTCCCTCTCTAAGTAGCTATTGATTTACTATAGCTCTTCTTCTAGGGATGGGACCCTGCAAAATGCCCCTGTCCACATTGTCATGGCAGCTGGTGTTGTCATTATTTTTTCAAGTCTTGTTTAATCAGCCATATTGTTGAGATGCCATAGCGCAACATCTCAGTCTTATTTAGAGCAGTGCGGGCAAGGTGTCCTGGTCCTCTGGCTCTTACAATCCTCTGTATTAGGTATAAGTATGAATTATAGGATCAGATGGATCTAGATTTAAGTCTACCTTGCCTAGGTGACCTCCTGAAGGAATAATGACTTGGGAGACTGTTTTTTTTTTTGTTATTATTATTTTTATTTTTCGAGACAGGGTTTCTCTGAAGCTTTGGTGCCTGTCCTGGAACTAGCTCTTGTAGACCAGGCTGGCCTCAAACTCACAGAGATCCGCCTGCCTCTGCCTCCCGAGTGCTTGGATTAAAGGCGTGCACTACCACTGCCCGGCAGGAGACAGTTCTGTTGTTCGTAATGGGATCTTCTTTTGGCACATCACATGCTTCGTAGTCACTCAAAAAGTTGTCTACCACTTTGGCATTACAGCTCAGTCTGTTTTAAAGATTATGACTTATAAAATTATGTTAATTGTCAGATAACTTAATAGGATCTCAAATCCAGTCCACCTTGACTTCAAAAATTCATGTAGTTCATCTTGATTTTAATCTCCTTCACAAGAAGAACAAAATAAAACCCAAAATACAAAACTGGCCAACTGACTAAAATCATCTAATTCCTCAGCTACTATGACTAAGACCCATAGTTGTTGAAAAAAAGGTAGCATGATAAATACAGTGTCATGTTTTCTGGAAGAATGACAAACACAAAATGGCAAGCCCAATAAGTACAATTTTCATTAGCTTTCATCATGAAAATCCTCTCCCAGGCAGCACCACCACTTTGAAGGTTTTCCAGATCACAGTATGTCTCAGTTTCCCAGGTGAGCGGACCTTATGTTCTAATGTGGTACTGGCCATCAGCATCAGAGGCTCAAGATGCACAGGACACATTGTGTGCTGGCAGAAGCTCCCAGTTCGGGTTGGTGAGAGTCAGAGGACATTTGCAGGGTACGCGTAATGTTTGAGCTTGAACATGGACATATTTGAGTGTTCTCTCACCAATACCTTTCTTAAGCCTCCTGCTAGCAATGAATTTCTGTGGTTCCCTTCAACCAATCCATTTTTTTTCAAGCAGTAATTAGTGACTGACTGCTTAAGTCTCCTTGCCCCACAGGTATTAACTCTTACGTTCATTACCAACATGATAAGATGGACGAATTTCGTAATAAATTTGTGTAAGGTATTCTATGAACAGAGGTGTAACTGTACACACTTATGTTGCACATATCTAAGCTTAGAATGGAGAGAAGGGCTGGAGTAACAAACAGCATCACAAATATTAGGAAATGGACTATAAAATAGTTTAAAATGAACACCTCAAATTCTTATATTTTTAACAAGGCCCCATAGACTCATTAAAATTTTAGAATCATTGCAAAGACTCATCCCTGTTGTGAATAGAAGCAATAGGATTTCAGAGCTAAATGAGAATGTATTTTAGCCCCTGGCCATTGAAATTTGCTGGCCACCTTATGTGTGTGAGTGTGATTTTTAAAGTGTTTTATTAGTAGTTATTTGAGAATTTCACACATGGTTCTGGTCTTATTTCCCTCCCTTCTTTGGTTCTTCACAGGCCAACTCCCCATCCCTACCCACTCAGTTTTGCCTCTTCATTTTTTTTTTAACCCATCAAGACCATTTGTACTGCCCAATTAGTCTTGATTGTGTGGCCTTCTGTTAGAGTATATAATTAACCAGAGTCTTATGTTAGAGAAGACCAGCTCATCATCCAGCAGCTACCAGTTGCCCATAGCTCCTCCACTAGGTAGGACTTCATGCTCAGCTCCCCTCTCTATGCCGGAATTTGGTCTGGTTCCTGCTGTCACAGCTGCTGTGAGCTCGTATGTGCAGCTGCCCTATGTTCTAAAGACAATGCTTGCTCGCAGTCAGTTATCTGTGTCTCACTCCCTTACACTCTTCCCCCCTTCTCTTCTACAATGATCCCCGAGCCTTGAGAGCTATATATGCTCTGTTTGACACATGTGATTTTTATTTTCAGTGAGATACAGCTGTTTACATACCTTTTAATTTCCCAGAGTAACACACATTTACTTATTAGCTTCGTATTTTATTCATAAGTGTGCGGCTGCCTTTCGGTTGAAGAATGAGAAACTGTCAAGGAAGTCGGGTGTGTATCTTTATCCTCGGGGTCTCTGAAGTGGTTCCTCCTACATAAATGAGAGAAAGGGAGAGGTGAAGATATTTTGCATTTCAATTGTTTTAAAATATTTTTTCATTGCATGATCTAAATGGAATTTCCTCCTGTGGTGTTAACTTTACTTCCTTAGAGCAGTAGCAATGGGCTGGGCAGCTCCTGTCACTTCAGCAAGGATAAACACAGACTACTAAATTTTTTTTTTTTTTGGCTTTTCGAGAGAGGGTTTCTCTATGTAGCTTTGGAGACTGTTCTGAACTAGCTCTTTTAGACCAGGCTGGCCTCGAACTCACAGAGATCCACCTGCCTCTGCCTCCCGACTGCTGGGATTAAAGGCATATGCCACCATCGCCTGGTGACTGCTAACATTTTGATCTTTAGTAACAGGTGGGGTCCTCTTCTGTGGTCTCTGCAGATGTCTATTCTTTTAATGTGGATAGCATTATTATCCTCAGTTTGCAGATAAAACACCAAAAGTTTAAATGACATTCTCTAATCATCTTATAAATGGTAAAGCTGGGTTAGAAGTCCAGGCATTGGGTGCCAGTCCTTGCTCTTAACCACTGGGATAAACTATCAGCAGAACCACTAATATGGTGGCTCGTGTCAACAATATAAATAACAATGACAATCATATGTGGTTTTCACTATATTAGTGTTATGATAATTGCTTCCAATTTTCTTCCAAACTATGAAGGTGGACAGTATAGTGGACCCTGTTTCTGGAATGAGAAACTAGGTTTTGACAGCAGATGTAGCTGGTTTAGGTCTAAGTAGGGAATAAAAGGCAGAAGAATTGGAGTCTAACTTCAAAGCCATCAGACGAAGACACACGGAGGCTACTTTCCTACTATTAGTGTAGAATTCCCATTAGCCCATTACAACCTACATCCCTTACAAGCCATGTCCAGATTTTTAAAAAGAGGAAATCTATACTTATCAGTTCAGATTGGTTCTCTCTGTCTCTCTTTCTTTCCTTCTCCCCCTCCCTCTCTCCCCACTCCTTCTCTCTATGTGTGCATAAGAGATAGAATGTCCATTTTCTGCGTGTATGGGCTGCTATTGCTTAAAGTCAACATTGCAGAAGCTTACTGACGAAAATTTCAGAAGAGGCTAAATTATTAGTGAATTTCAAGCTCCTTAAAGAACCTTTGTGAGAAGTATTTCAAAAGATTTAAGAGGATTAAAACATTACTACATTTTGAGTACCCCTGTGACACAGTATTGAATGTAGCCCCTGAAAAGCCTGAATTTTTATAACCCCGTGGAAGGTTTCCTGCTAAGAACTGCATCCCATGGTGTGAAGAGGGATTGTCCACAGTGGAGAAAAGGAAGACTTCACGGGTCTGTTTGAGCACAGTCTAGAAAGGCATTTGGGAAACTCGACTTGGGAAGACAACTTGACGTAAGAAGTCACCAAGCCTTAGGAAGAACTTTCTGTAAACTGAAGCTGCCCAACCGTGGAATGATCTGTTTCACCACCTCACCTGGTCCATGTCACTGGAGGCATTTATGCAGAGGGTGGGGAGCAGGCAGGGTAAACAACCCGGTGCTGGAGAAAAGATGATCATTCTCGTTCTGAGGTATGAAACAAATGCCACTTCAGCTAGTTAAAAAGCGAGTAATTCATTTTAATATAGTTTAATCTATTTCAGAATCTACTATCCATAAAACAATGCTAAAGGGGAAAATACTTTAACTGGAGAAAAAAATCATGTAATTTATTTGAACAACATATTTGGAAATAATAAATAACAATATTGTAGATCAGTGGGGCCTATAATATAATTTTATATTTTAAAGAATATTATAGAAACATCAGAGAAGTCCTAAAATTTTTATTGCTCTGAGAACAGTCAAAAGGAAAAGATACATTAAAAAATAAAATGGTTTCCAGACAGAAAGTGTAAATTACCATGAAGTTCACAAGAACAACAACAAAAAAAAAATGATCTTTTTGACCAAACTATTGAGCTGGCAGGACACCAGAAAGCTGTGAATTGAGGGCTGGAGAAATGGCTCAGCAGCCAGCAGTGCTCACTGATTTTCCAGAGGACCAGAGTTTAGTTCTAGCACACATACTAGGCAGCTCAGAACCACCAGCTCCAGGGACTCTACTTACTGTTGTCTTATGGCCTCTCTGGACACTCTCTGGGCTCTCTCTCTCTCTTTCTCTCTCTCTCTCTCTCACACACACACACACACACACACACACACATACATTCATATAAATAAAAATACACCTTTAAAAAAAAGGCAACTATAGATTGAGGTCAGTCATAAGTAAGCAGAAGGTTAAGACTACTAAAGAATTTTGATGGGAGGAAGATACCTACAGAGGTAACCATTATCTGGTTTTAATACGTCTCCTGGGTGCCAGAATAGCATCTACTTTATGCAGACCATGTCCAAAAATAAGCTCCTGAAATATACACAATTAAAGTCCAAATACCCAAATATTTCAATGGTATAATAACAAAACATACAAACTTACTTTGGAGCATTTTGTGTCTGGATGTGTGTTTTCTTACTTTGCTTACAACATGACCAAGGCACGTTATAGAAAAAGAGTTTATTTTCTTCCAACCTCTCACTAACACTACCACTTAAGCACTGCTTACGACACTCAAAAGCTTTACTACCCCGAGAAGATGATTCTAATTTATATAGAAAAGCAGACTGAGCAAGCCATGGAGAAGAAGTCAATAAGCAGAGTTCCTCTGTGATCTCTGCTTCAGGTCCAGAATCCAGGTTACTGCCGTGAGTTCCTGCTTTGTCTTTCCTGAATGAAGGACTATAACATATAAGCTAAACATAACCCTTTCCTCCCCAAGTTACTTTGGTCATGGTGCTTTTCACAGCAATAGCAAGCCAACTAGGACACTGTGGTTTGTATAAAACACTTTATGAGAAGGGTTTGGATATTCGGATCTATCTGGTCATTATGCATCCATCCCTGATGTGGGAGTGATTTCTTACTAATAAAGAAACTGCCTAGACCCATTTGATAGGCCAACCCTTAGGTAGGCGGAGTAAACAGAACGGAATGCTGGGAGAAAGAAGCTGAGTCGGGGAGTCGCCATGATTCTCCCACTCCAGACAGACACAGGTTAAGATCATTCCTGGTAAGCCAGCTCTTGGGCTACACAGATTAATAGAAACGGGTTAGATCAATATGTAAAAGCTAGCCAATAAGAAACTGAAACTAATGGGTCAGGCAGTGTTTAAAAGAATACAGTTTCCGTGTAATTATTTCGGGTAAAGCTAGCTGGGTGGCGGGACACAGCCCGCCGCTCCGTATTTCAACACATCCCCTTATGGCCTTAGTTTTCAAATTAGCCCCTCTATATTAGAGAGCTATCATGAGTATGAGCCAATGTTCCATCAAAGCGTGTTGACTTTTCCTGAGAGGGAACATGCCTTTGAAGGATAAAATAAAGACTTAGTAACTGCCTTGAGACTGAACTGAAAGGTAAGGGATGGGAAAGGGACTTGCATAGCATAAAAGAGAATGGAAATATGTTGAAAGGCACACTTGAGAATGCAAAAAAAAAAACCCACACTTGCCACTTTTAGGAATATTAAAAAGTAATCTGATCAATTAGATTTGTAAACACTCAGCACATAGTATTGAAAATGAGCATTTGAGATGTATGAGACATGACCTGCCTCAGCCACACCTCCTCTTCTCTAGTTTTCGTCTTAGGGCTCTCTCTAAAAGCATGGGGAAACTCATATGTAAAAAAAATACCATTTGTTCTAAGCGAGGAGGGTCCTGAAAACCCCTTTAGATATTTGACAGCAAATAATCCTGACACAAATTACTCCAATGACGACGGGAAGATGCCCCCTTAAACCGTTCATTCTTTTGATCTTCATCTCCTTTGCTGTGTAGCCTCTGACTCCACTCCCTGAAGGTTTTGTGCTCATCCCTCTAATTGCCACTAGAGAGGATGTGACATCTCCTGCTTCTCATTTCATATAACCCTAACTATGTTTCTGACCAAAGTTATTCTTAAAAATTAAGGGCATGAAGAAGATCAAAGACTGTGGTTTCAGAAGGGTGCTTTCACTTCTGTGTTCTTAACACTTTGGGACAGTGAGGAGAAAAGGGGGGCAATTGGAATGGCCTCGCCTTTCCCCAGAACTGACTTTTCAAAACTATGAAGAAACCACTTAAGAGGCGTTTAGTAGCGAAGAAATGCCAGTTCCTGGTAAGCTCACTGAAGGTGACACTTTGCAATCTGACGACCAGGCTTCTGGAGGGAAAAGGCTGAGGGAAGTCCCACTGCCCTTTCAGTCTTTGCCTTCTTCTTTGTGCCATTTACTGAACTCTTCACAGCTCATAGAAAACATCCAGGTTGAGTTTGTCTTGCTTGGTTTCATTACCTGGTACTGCAAACGTACGCACAAAGTATCCTTAATGAAAAATGTCAGTGGGTCCCTATTGTAGAATAGTGCATGCTGCCTAGAAGATGAATTGTGGTAGAAGGGGCTTGAGAGATGCTCAACACTGGACTTGGTGCTCCACTGGCCCTAGCTCATTTGGTTTCACAAGAACTCTGGGTGTGTAGCTGTGCAATTGCCTCCATTCCAGAGATAAAAGATTCCAGTGCACGCAGGAGAGGAGAAAACTGCCCAAGGCCAGGGTCAGAATTCCACTGTGAACTCTGAAGTCTGATTTTTAGAATTCAGGAGGCTAAGCAAACCTCAGTGGCATGCCACAGCACTGTGTGGGGGACATACTGAGCTCTTATCCCATCTATCCCATCTTTTTATTGCAATTCTTACATCAGATTAAAGACCAGAAAACCCAAGAAAAGGTGTTATTGTTGTTGTCTCCAACTATGAAAGAAGCAGAACTGAAAGTATATGTGTGCGGCTCAGTAAAATAACTCTGATGCAGGCTAATTTCTCTGGACTTTATTTGCTTAGTCTGTGAAACAGGGACATGACAGCATCTGCCCTAGAGGGCTGCCATTGGTGTGAGCTTGCATGTTGTAAAAGGGCCCACACCATGCCTGACATATGTATGTCCTAGCGTGTTAACACTCTAAAACGTCCTTTACCCCATTGTGGAAATAGGATAGTGACAGGAAATGAACCGTGTGTGAGTTCTGTTAAATTGGTACCTGCTGTAATCGAAATAATCTAATGCCTGGATTTTTATGTTCCAGTAAGTAGCTCTGTAATTCTCTACATCTCCGCCTCTGGGATACTTTAGAAAATGGTGCGGTGGTACAGGCGCCTGGTGTTTGATAACTTCTTTGTTCTTGGTCCTAAAACGTGGCCTTGTGTCACCATCACATCTGCTCTAACCCCTCTGGATTTTGTCCCAGAATGCACAGGAGTCATGGGAGTGTGTGTGTGTGTGTGTCTCTGTGTGTGTATGTGTGTGTGTGTCTGTGTGTGTGTGTGTGTGTGTGTGTGTGTGAAGGGGTTACCCATTTCTTCTGGTTAATTAAAAATGGAGACTCTCTACAGGCACTAGGAGGGAAGTAGGGTGGGAAGTGCTGAGTACCCTGGCAACACTTGAAGGGTGCAGGTGTGGGCATCTGCTGGGCAGATTCTTTGGTCAACAGCACTGCAAAAGTTTAATGCCTGGAGGGAGTGGGTAATGCAGGTGAGCAGCATGGCATGCCCGCCCCTCCCAGCCCTCCTAAGGTCCCCTTCTGTAAGTGAAATTGGCCATTGTCTTCCTTTAAATGGAAAAGTTCTCTTTTATTCCCTTTCACCATGGGAGCTTTACAAATTACGTACCCCAATGCAGCTACGGTCTCTTAAAACCCCCTTCAAAAATTATTGGGAAGAAGGGAAACATGCACTGGAAAAAATCACCTTTTGTGGACAGTGTTCTTTCTACACAGCACTTTAAGGGTTAAACTTCGTTGCAAGAGAAGTCTGTCTGGTTGGGATATCCCCCAATTTAGAAACTACTATTGCTAAAAAGGTAAGCCACGAAAGCATTCCTTTGCACAGCTTTCTACGACAGGAATAACTCCTTGTCCCCAGCGTGTGTAAATGCAAGTTTGACTTAGCCTCGACACATCTATCATCTATATGGTGCTTGTATCAGGGTGAAGACTGTCAATCACAGTTAATAAAAGATCCCAGAACACAGCAGGGATCTCTTTTGACTATAGATCCATTTTACGATAGCTCTCAATTTATTATGTCACACAAATCAAAAAAGCAGCATTTATCTTATCCTTCAGAGGCATCCTTTCTCCCTCCCAGTGCCCCAGCCCCTCCCCCTGCGCCAGTTTCCAGCCCCTCAAAGATGCTTTGTGCAAGAAAGTACAAGTTCTTCTGGCTTCATTTTTGTTCCTTTTTGCTTTCCTCCTGGCTCCCCCCCCCCCCACAAAACAAGAGAGCAAAGCAAATGGCCCGGGTCCCCCCCACAACGCCTGACCTGCGTTTGCTGGGAGGAGAGCGGGAGAGGGAGCGCGCATTCTGGAGCAGGCTGCTCTGACTCCGACCACAGGCTGTTTTGTGCAGGCTGTCCCTCTCCTTCGAAATCAAGCATCCCCTCCCCGAAGCAGCAAGCAGTGTGCCTCCATTCGGCCACATTTGGTATGCATGAGCACGGCTGCAGGGAGAGGGGAGGTGGCTTTTTTAAGAAGGTTCAGGGGCTCAGGAAAGCCACTTGACTAGACTCCCAAGTTCCAGGAATCCTCTGCCCTAATGGAATTTGCAGGTGTGGAGATGACCATGGGATGCCAGGGCCGTGGAGGGCCGTTTATTTTCTAGGCATTGCCCAGATTTGCAGTCTCTGGTCTTCCCGGTGGAATTTGGAAGGGGTCATGAATCAGACTGATGCTTCTCGACCCCTAAATTGGACCATCCGAAAGCTATGCCACGCAGCTTTTCTCCCATCTGTCAGACTTCTCAAGGTACTGTAACTTGCCGCTTTGAATGTCCCTTACTGTGCTTTTCAGGTCTGAACGCCCAACTTCGCACTTGGGCTGGGACGCCAGTTTTGGGGCGTGCGAATGCATGCAGTTCTGCCTGTGCTACCCATGGCTGGAGAGAGTTTCCATCACCTCTACCCCACCCCCACCCAGCGGGGAGGATGGCCTGAGCTACACTAGGGAATTAGATATGGTCTCAGGAAAGGGGCTACCTGTGCGCACCCCCACCTTTCTTAACCATTAGTCTGCCAAAGAATTAATTCACTTCTTTGCGGGAGGTGGGGGGAGGGTAGAATAATAGTGGGCATGAAATCTCTTCCTTGTCTGCGTTTGGCTCCAGAGCTTGTTTTCTTTCCCTGGGGAAGCCCTTCGACCCACTTTTCCTTAAATGGAACCTGAGAGAACAAAGGATTCTCCTCCTTCTTTTAAAAGCTCCCTGGCTAGGTGGTCAGTCAGGTATAGACAAAGAAAGAATGCACCTTATCACATAGTGACTTTTTAAAGGCATGATCATTTCTATCTCTGGGTCTTTGGACTGGAGTCGGTGTGAGAAAGTATTGTTTCTCGCATGCATTTGAAGGGAGCCTTCTCGAGCTCCGAGTTACACAAAAGATTCCTACTACACCTGAGCTGCAGTTGCTAGTTGTGGCCACAGTGCCCCTGTTTCTGGAAGCAAACGTATTAAAGACACGGGAAAAAAAGTCCTCACGAGTCCTTAGGAATCTACCTTCATCACCTGCATGACAGGGAAGGGCACAAAGTGTGAAGGTGCAGAAGAAAAGTATTGCTTAGGAAAGGAAACGGGTTAACCCTTTGGGGGTGGGTTGAGCACAGCTGAATGCTTCACATCAAAGTTTGTCAGGCAAGGCGAATCCTTAATTCTCCTTTTCCTATTATGTATGATCTTTTTGTTTAATTACTTGTGAGCACAGAGGGAATTTGCTACAATGGAGGAATGATGGATCAGCCCTGAATAAATCGCTCTGATTTTTTTCCAGCTAGGTATGGTGTGGACGGATAATTCTAAATAGCTAAGTGGTGTCTCGTTGCCAAATATTACCCATTGGCTCAGTTTCCCTGACCCTGTTAAACACAAACTGGTTTTAACTTTCACTAGGCGTGCCCCCAAGTGCCCTTCAAACCCCATCTTATGGTTGTCATGGCAATGACTTGCTTCCCAAGGAATATTTGGAAGGAAGAGCATTTGGGAGCATAGGGAGTGGGAGAGATTTCTACACTTATGCATGCTTTCGCTGTATTGGAGCAACTTGTGTAATAGGGCATGAAAAAGAATGAGGCCAGAGAATTAGCAAATGGATGTGAATTTCCCTCCAGATTTAGTAGTCAATCAAGACCAGGAAAAAGAACGTCTTGACAAATTAACTATGACTGAGAGAGTGAAGTTCCATGGTCCCATATGCAATAAGAACTACCTTTCCAGTTAAAGCCACTCACTGGCTTGAACCCAAAGTGATGCTTTTTAACTCGTCTTAACAGATATATGTATATATTATTAATGAATACTCAATGTATTATTCATTAGTGTTCATTTTTAAAATAGAAACTGTTATTAATATACCCATCACGAAGCCAGGAGAGAAGTTAGTATTTGAGATAGATTACTTATTTTTAGAAGAACTCTGTCGTCTTTAAAAATTACACAGACACAAACTCAACACGCACACATACCCACCACAGCCGGGAGACCAGTGCTTGCATTTCATCCCGCCCCACCCTTCCATTTATTCCATTTATTAATGTGGTGCTTGATGACACTTCATCTAATAAAGGGCATTAGTGAGCTTCCTTCCACTGATTGCAGCATCTGAAGGAGGGGATGCATTTTATTAGAGAGCTTTCTCTTGCAAAGACATCTGTGCGTTTGAGAGTATAGCTACCCCATGAGACTTGAGAGAGTAAGCACATTTCAAAATCCTGCGAGGAAAATAAAAGGATGCCAAATCCTCTCAGCAACATTTAGGCAGAAATACCAACTTCTTTTGGAAGGCAGCTATGCTCACCACTAGACCGCCCAGCTGCTTTGGAATATGAGCAAACAAATCATCCATATGAACACTATGGTGTGTGTTTCCCCCTCTGGGTTTTGGTTGCCCCATTTTTGCTCTGCTTAGCACCTATGCATTCTTCCACTGCTTTTATCTTCTGTGGGAAAACTGAAAGCTCGTGAATAATAATTTGCTTCCTTGTTAAATGTTCTTCTTGTTTCAGGCTAGACATTAAATATTCAATAATGGTTTTTCTCCCAGGCCCTTGCTTACTTTCTACTCTCTGCCATCCTTTTGCCTCAGACTCCACTCCCCCTCCCCCACTCTGCCACCATTATGCTAGTTTGATGGATGGACTCTCTGAACATCCAGAGTTATCGAAACCCTTAGCCAATAGCCAATTCTCCCATTCAACAGGTAATTTTTGTTTCTCCTCCCACTGCCCTGATGTGCCTTACCCTCTTTGATGCTCTGAGACTTGTCAGTAAATACAGTGTGGGGCGTGATGGCCTGATTAGATTTGGTTAAATCAGATCAGACACCAATTCTGACAGCCTAGGTTCAAGCTGATTTCCCTTCTCGTTCTCTTTCATGAAAATATATTGAGTATGTATGTATGTATATGTGTGTGCATATATGTGTGTATGTATATGTGTGTATGTATGTATGTATGTTTTACTAACTTCAGTGCCATGTGGACAGTCAGAATTGGCTTCATGTATAATTTCTTTTTAATTTCGCATGTCCTGGTAGAAATGGGGTACTAAGGAATCAGGCGAAGAAGACCGTCTTGAAACATGAATTAAAACCAGCAAGTGTTGGAATGCACTTATAATTCCTCCTGAAAACATTTCATTCTTTGTTCTGTCCACCCCAAAGCAAATTTTGAACATGCCAACTGACCCTCACTCTGCATTTGGGGCTTCATTTGGAAATAGCACTTGGAAATGAATGTCTGGTCAGGCACAGGACGATGGTAGTCAAAAGACAGAGCCTGCTTTGAAATGGTTGCCTTTTAGATGGGACCCTTCTCAGGTGACTTCTCCTCTGCTATAGTGGGCTTCATTCTTAAGTGGTTCAAGGCTTCATCCTGCCATTAATCACACAACCAAAATGTGAATTTTGTTTCAGTGACAGAATGTTCTTAGCATATTTCATATTCATTATCAGGTCTATCTCTGCCATTGTTTTATTTAGGAGATTTCATTTTGGTAACTTGTGTTGAGTTTGAAGAATATTTTTAGGACAAAGAATTTTCTTAGAAGTGAAGTCTTGGCAGACTTTTTGAAGGGAAGGCTTCTGAAAAATGGGTTGCATTGGAGCAAAAGGAAGAGCTATGTAACACACTTTGAATAAGCACATTTATGTCAACTTGATAATCAAAAGCATCTGATCAGTATGACCCTAAAGACTTTGGATTCTTTATATTGAACAATGCTATGATTTGAGTGAGCAATGTCAAAATAGGATAAAAGAAGGGATCAGTGTAGTTAAGAGTACTTGCTGCTATTCCAGAGGGTCAGAGTTTGGTTCATAACACTCTTGTTGGTAGTCTTACAAATGCCTCCAACTCCAGACCCTAAGGATCCAATGCCTTCTTTTGGCATCTATGAGCACCCATAGATATCACACACACACACACACACACACACACACACACACAAACACTCAAACACATGCACGTGCATACACACACACACACACAAACACTCAAACACATGCACGTGCATACACACACACACACACACACACACACACACACGGAAATAGAAATCTCTCTCTTTCTCTTTTATTTTTTTGAGACAGGGTCTCTCTATATAACCCTAGCTGTCCTGGAACTCACTTGTCACCCTGGCTGACCTCAAAGTCACAGAGTTCCTCCTGCCTCAGCCTCCCTCCCAAGTGATGGGATGAAAGGCATGCAGTATCATTTCTGGCTTAAATCTTTTGAACACATTTATTAAATTATATTTGGGAAAGGTAAGTCTAACCACTTTTTCCAATTTCCATTTTCTTTCTAACCAGCTCTGTGACCTTGAGGCTACATAGTTTCCTTGTAACATGGAGTTCTTTTTAAAATGAAGGATTCCAGTCTTGAATAGGTCCCGTGGTAACTCCCTATGGACAGGCCTACATGCTCCCTGGGAGTAGAAGAGCACACTATATCTGGGCTCAAAGGATTAGATATTCTAACTGAAAACAGAAATGTAACAATAAATAGTGATACTCAAGGCAGATATAGGGTCTTGTCTACCAAAAAAATGCTTTAGACTATTATCCCAAAACAGTATAGTTAATATTTGAGTGAAGTTACTTCCAGATTCAGTATTGTACACTCACCCTGGCTGTAGGATCTATCCTTGGTAAGACGTGGTTAAGTAGAAGATGAATGGTTAGATCAGAGACCTGGAGAATTTCTAAGAACCTGGGCTAGGACCAAAGCAATAGAAGTAAATGAAATAGGGGCATGTTGTATTGATTATTCGTGTCTTTGGGAAGAACCTAGAATAATCTTTTAATCAAGAGTTTCTATCTTTGATATCTAATTGAATGGAAGCCCCCTAGACCTAAGAACAAAGGTTCCAAGAATGAAGGGAGGAGCTACCTTGTGATCCTCTTGATGAGCTAGAAAGATAAGTCACCTCTGACTAGTTAGGACAGAAGTTAGCACTGTGCTTCTTTGTCTCACCCATCTCACTGAGTGTGGGTCCCACTGATCCAGACAACTTTGAAATAAATGATACATGCTTATAGTGGCATCATGTCCATGTTATTAACTGTAATATAATGTCACCAATCTCATTAAACTATGTATTATTTCACCAATTAATGCCCCTGCGTTGCAGCCTAGTCTCTTGGACTTCAGCTAATACTTGTTCTATTTTTCTCTCCTTTCTGACTTTTATGTATTAGAATTAATTAATATTACCTAGATAGCTAAAGGGAATTACCTGGAAGAGCAGTGATTCTGCTAAG